GTAGGTTCAAAGGGAGGGTACACTACTTGTATTTGTAATTAATTTCTGGATAATTCGGGATTTTAAAGAAATTAATTGTTTTTATATCTTATTTATACTATATTTTATGTTAATGCTCTTAAATATTCTTTGTTACTGAGAGCCTCTTGTCTGAATTGCTTATTTGCCATTAAAGGACCCGTTTTTTTTGGAACTGGGACTTGATAATTACCTATATTCAAACTTACAAATTGATCCTTTGAAGTTTGGCTGAAAATGTAGTAAAATCGTAGAAAACAAGAAAATATCATGATCAAAGATTACTTTTATTTGAAAAGTTGGCTGCAAATCTTCTTTTGATCTTGCTATATTTCTGCTACAGTACGTTCGAGAAAGAACCGCTAATGGACGCTTAAGAAGTTGATTGAACCTAAGACAAACACATACTTTAAAATTGTAACGAAATCCATGATTAGGTATTGTGAGTTAATTCCTGAAGATCTGCATCTGATACTCTTACTTCATCCGCTCTAATAAATACCGTACTTTTAGGTACTTCTGTTTATTCCGCTCTGTGCTATGGTCAGCCTCTATGGCCACGTAATCTATGCTCTCTCAACTGCTGTGCTCAGCGACAACCCTGAGTCGGTGCAGCAGTCGCTCATCCAAGCAGGTGAGAGCTAAAAATAGTTCGTGCCATTAATGGCTGCGACTCTCGTCATCCCAATTTCAAGCCGGGCAAGACCCGCGGGCGTTCTCAAGTTGCGAACCTTGACAAAAACAAACTGCGCCCGTCATTGCACAACACAAGTAATGCGAGTCGATAGCCAGCTTTGCGCAATGAAATATCAACGAGCGAGCCGAGAGGCTAAGTCAAAGCTGTCATCCAAGAGGATAGAAAAGGATAGATCCCCGGGGACCAGCTACGCGAGCAACAATTGAATAACGTTGCTCAGAACTTTTCATGCCAAGATATGCAATTAGAGGGATGGTTGGCTTAGTTGGAGAATTTTTGATTTCAGAATTACCGATAACCACCTTTTCTGATTGGCTGTTCTCCTCTGTTACTCGGGTGCCTAGCATCAATGGACTGACAGTTAAGGTAACTAGCTCTTTAAAAGTTTGAGCTTCAGCTAAGAGGTATTTTGGAAAATTGATGTGAGGAAGTCATTTGGCAGTTTTTTTAGAAATTGCAAATG